ATATAATTAACCCACCCCATCCCACATCCACCACCCTTACTGCTCCGGCGACTACTCTGGTGACTGTTCCTCGGCCGCACTTAATTCCGGCGACTATTCCAGTAACCACTTGCCGCCGCTTAATTCCGATAACTGCTCCGATTTCAAGGTTACAGATATCTTATTAAGGTCATAGATTTTTAATTGACCACAAGTTACACAAGTTAAAAAAATTGTAGATAATAGAGATTCACATATTTCAAAGTTTGTTGGTCACAGATTATATTTTGAGTCACAGATTAATGAATTTTAAGGTCACGGGACCATATAGTTGGTCACATACACCCAAACACGTCCCCCAATCCCAGTACACTACCAATACTTGGTCACAGATCACGAATCGATATAGTTGGTCACATACACCCAAACACCTATCCCAATACATCACCAATAGTTGGTCACAGATGCTCTTCGTCCATCCACCCGCCACCTCCATTGCCACAACCACCCTACCAATAATAACACCAACAACCACCACTACCCAAACCGCCTGCACAGCACCACCATCATGGTCACCCTGTCACAACACCACCACAACCACCTCCATCATCGCTACCCAGTCACACACAGATCTACCATATGGATTTCACACACCCACCCATCGCCATAGCACCCACCCATCAGCCACAACAACGACGCTGAAGACCTCCACACACCCACCCATCAGCCACAGCAGCGTCGCGACGCAGCTGTTAAGGAGAGAGGGAAAGGGTAAGGAGAGAAAGACGATGGAGAGAGGAACGAGGGTGGGGTGGGGGGGTGAGAAATTGATAAATTAGGGTTTTAAAAGATTAATTATTTAATTAAAATAAAATGATAAAAATCTGATAAATAAAAAAAAAGGTCAAAACCTGATTTTTAAAAAGATGAAACTTAATGCCTGGTTTTATGTAATTCTCCCCAATAAAAATATGATGGTAATATACCCGAGTTACTACTAACAGTTGATAATTTTTGTCATTGACTTTACTAGATAAAATTTTAATAATAAATCATTTTTGTCCTTAT